AAAAGTACGAAAAAAGTACTTTTGGTTGGACTCATTTTCATGTGCTTCGTTTCTTAATAAAGAGGGCCATGTGTTTAAATTCCGCAAACGCATGAGGGGCCTGATGTCTAATGCCGTTAGAGATTGCCGGCGTTAGAGATTGCCAAAGAAAAACGATGAACCTCCAATTTTCAAAAGTGTTCCAATTTTCTCTTTGGTTTTTTTGGATTTGTTTGTTTTACTTTTTAAAAACATATTTGCTATTAGTCATGGACCCGGTCCGACCAGTCCGGGAATCGGCCCGGCCCGCTACTGTGCGGGCCCGGCCCGGAAAACCGGTTCCAGGCCTAGGCCCGGCCCGAGGGGGTAAGGGGGGCGGTTCCGGTACACCAAAAAGATGAACTGGCCTGGCCGGTTTCGGGCCTCTTTTTTATTTGTTTTTTTGGGTTTGGGATGGGTTGGGTCGGTAGCCTCTCGGGCGGCCGGGCCGGTCCTTACCCAAAACCTTCCAGGCCCGAATCGGAATCGAACCGGGCCCGGTCCACCACTATTTGCTATTATCATTTTCTGGTCGAATTTTCGGTGACAATTGATAAGGGTGGCTAGGAAAAAAAATAAACATGGCCTATAGGTTGCCTTGATGAGGTGCACCTCCTAGAATTTTTCTTTAAATATTTCGTTCACTTTTGAAAATCAGAGCTAATGTTCATTGTCTTCCTCCGACAATTTCTAACGGTGATGGGGCGTTATGGGTGGACCGGTTCCGGTTTGGGCCTGGGCCCGGCCGGGCCTCGGTTCAGAAATGGGAGGCCCGGAACCGGCCCGGGTAATCCTGGTTCCGGTTCGGGCCGGGCCGGGCCTCGGTTCTATTTTTTTTTTTTGGCTTTTCCTAATTAACCCCCAACCCTCCCCCTCACCCCCAAACCACCCCAAACCACCTCAAATGGCCCAAAATACCAAGCCCAACCCAAAAACTTAAAAAAAATTCAAAAAAAAATAATAATAATTTGGCCTGAACCGGGCCCGAACCGGCCGGGCTGGTTCGCCAATCAAAGGGTCCGGGCCCGAACTGCACAGTAACCGGGCCGGGCCGACCCAAACCGCCCCCGGACCGGTTCAAACAGTAACCGGGCCGGGCCGCCCGGCCCGAGTCCATCCCTATGGGGCGTACCTCCTAGTATCTTTCTTTGAATTTTTCGTGCACTTTTGATAAATTTCATTATCACTCATGATAATAAAATTTAAGCACCTAACTTATTTTGTTAAGAAATGAAACAAGGGCTCCTATCTTAAAAGGGACTTAATCATACTTATCTTTTGAATTTTACTACGTATTAAATGTGTGATTTTTTGATATATATAACGTAATTCACATTAATTTATAGTATAAGGGGCAATGAACTAACATTTTAAATACGGTCACTCAAGGTTATTAGATGGTCTTGTACTTCAGTGGAGATGTTGCTTACATTACTATCTATATAACACTTCCATAATTTCACACTGGGGTAGCCAAGCTTGCCCTAGCGGCCTAGCCACTAGCTAGTAGGGATGGATTGAGACGGTTCGACCTGACTATTTAGGCCCGGCTTGGTCTGGGATTGTTTAGGCTCGGCCCGACACAAGCCTTGGACCGGTAGTTATAAGGGGTGCGCTTCGGGCCCGATACGGCCGGGTCTGGTCCAGGCCCAACTGCACTATTTTTGTTTTGTTTTTTTGATTAAATGGGTGGTACCGACGCAAGCTCGGGCCAACCAGGTACTATTTGGGTCCGAATTGATCGTGAAGCATACCAATGTTGGTACTAGGCCTGAATTCCTTAGTCCCGAAGCCTGCCCAGTCCCGGGCCCAACCCGACCTGTCCCAGCCCATTCCTACTAGCCGAAGCCTGGGCAGCACTTAATGAAGTGCTTACTAAAAAAGTTTTTAAAGTTTTATGAATAATTAAAAGAGGAAAGTGGGTAAAGTTATGGGATGGATGGAGCATTTTTCACCTTTAGAACACAATATTATGCATTATGGAGAAAATTAGATTTTAAAAGTAGTAAATTATAGGGATTAGATCATAGATATTACTAATTAAAATCATTTTGACAAATCTAAAACCTCTTTATGTAAATGCCAAAAAAGAGACCATGCATGTGATTCATTTAAATAATTAAGGCTGAAATGTCAAAGACGCCCTCTTACTAATGTTCCGCTACTTCGGCAGTTCCGCCCCCTGCTTTGAAAATTAGATGGCCCACTTCCATGTTCCTCCAACGGCCAACGCTACAACAAGTCAGCAACTTCCAAGATTTTTTTTTTGAAATATTCCAAGTTTAAAAAAATAGTATGATTTTCATATCTCCGAAATTACAAATCCCGTAATGATTTACAATTATTTAACCCATTCTATTACAATTACCAGCCCGATTAGTTAGAGGTGTTTGATGTCAATTGCAATTACCTAATCAGTTACAATTACTCGACCCGATCAGTTACAATTACCGAATCCCGATCCGACCAGTTACAATTACCTGATCAATTACAGTTACTTGACCCAAGGAGTTACAGTTACACGATCCGACCAGTTACAGTTATTCATCCGACCAATTACAGTTACTCGGTTCAACCATTTAAAATTACCAGAACAAATAAATTACAATTACTTGATCCAATCAATTACAATTACTCGATCAAATCAATTACAATTGTCTCACCCGACCGAACAATTACAATTACTTGGACCATCTACCTATACTTACAGTTACCCGCACACTAGCCACCGCCACCGGCCACTGCCGGCCACCACCGACTGCCACTGATCATTGTCGGCTACCGCCCCTACCCAACTGCCCCATTAGTGAGCCCCTCTCCTCTCCCCCTCTCCGGGTGACCGGCCTTCTCAGCCCGTTTTTAGCCCCAAGCCCAACCCGGCTCCAGCCTCCCCAACCCCCTGCCACCGCCCCTGCCCAACCGCTCTGTCAGTCAGCCTCTCCCCTCTCCAGTGGCCAGCCTACTCAGCCCGTCCCTAGCCCCAACCCCGTTCCAGCCTCCCAAACCCCTTGCCACCGCCGGCCCTGTCCCTACGCCGCCCAGCCCACTCCTAAACCTTGCACAATTGCAAACCCACCCCTCACCCGCCCACACCCCTCACCCCGTAACCGTTTCATCCCTCCTCCATACCTCGCCCCCAGATCCAGCACCGATCACCGCAATCGACTCATAGGTTGAACCGTAGCCACCCACCGTACTCGCCCCGCACCCTACCCCGAATCCATGTCCCCAGCCACTGTGCGATTTGAAACTAACAACCTGACTCATTGTCGATCTAGTAGAGTTCGAGTCTGAAGAAGGGGTAGGAGAAGAAGCGAGATGTAGACTTGGTCTTCGTTGTAGATCCAAAGCTCTTCAGTGAAGGGCGGCGGCGATCCATGGTGCAAGCTCTGAAGAGGGGCTGGTTATGGTTATCTATTGGAGAGAAGCGATTGTTTCAACAGGAGGGATAGGGGAAGAAGCGGACAGTTTAGACGGGAGGGATAAGGATAGCAGGGAGGGATAAGGATAACTAATGGGCCTATGGGTCCATTAGTTAAAATTCAATCTCTTTTTTGTGCAATTCAAATCTAGTCCTATTTTTGTCCAGCCAAAAGTCCTTGGTATTATTCTTGTCATTATTTCTAAATTATACTCCATATAATAGATAAATAATTTAGAATAAAAGTAGTCAAGTAAGATGTAATGGCGTTCATTGAAATAATACAAATCTGTATGGAGAGGAAATGGAGTGTATTATAAATAATGAAATATGAATGAAGTACTAAACTAAATATTAAAACTATTTTTTTATTGTCAATATTTTTATATGATAAAAAAATGAAGATGAAATTATATAATTAGGATAGTCAATGTAATGTACTCGATGAATGAAGTAATGAATGCGGAAATCACTGAAATCTCACTTTTTAACACTGTGGTTTGTGACTTTGTGCAGTGTAATTTGACTAATTTCATCATTTTTATATATTTTCAATTTCAAAACAAAAAACTTAAAAACGAAGGTTTGAAAATATGCACTTTTTGATAACATTTTAGTCCATTTTGATAAATTTTCCTTCTATAAATTAGTCTATTGACCAGCAGTTGTTATACCGTATGACCGGTATATGGTGAGCACCGTATACCGGCATACGGTTTTAGGCATCTTTGGAAGCTCCGCATGAAACATGTATTAAAATGATAGTGGGTCCTATTATTTGTTTATTTCTCTTATTGTTAAAAAACTATAATAACTTTTTTCATTTGTGATCTGGTTTTTATAAAATTTATATCAATTTTTTTTATTTTTCATGATCTTTCAAATGAGACCAATATTGCCTATGTAATTTTAACATATTATCGAACTATTATTTTAACCTATGTAAAATATGTAATTTTACATATAGAAATATGTAACTCACGTCCAGCCAAGCCAAATGCAACTCGTGTGTATAAATATGTAACTCTGCGTGTAAAAATATGTAACTTTACGTGTAAAAATATGTAACTCGCGTTCAGACAGGTCAAATATAACTCGTGTGTATAAATATGTAACTCGCGTGTATAAATATGTAACTTTACGTGTAAAAATATGTAACTCGCGTTCAGGCGGGCCAAATGCAACTCGTGTGTATAAATATGTAACTTTACGTGTACAAATATGTAACTCACATGTATAAATACATAATACAATAAATTTTTTATATACACAATTTTAAGATAAATTGTGATTTACACAATTATTTTTCTGTATTAAATTTAGTTCGATTTCCCTTATAATCCAATAAACATTTATATAATAGTTTGATAATTTGTTAAAATTACATAAGCAATATTGGTCTCATTTGGTAGATCATGAAAAATAACAAAATTTGACATAAAATTTATAAAAATCAGATATGAAATAAAAAAGTTATTACAATTTTTAACAACAAAAGGAATAAAAAATAAAGAAGTCAAAAATACCATATAGCTGCTTGCCAAAAATAAAGACCCGTATACGGTGCTCACCGTATACCGGTATAATTTGCCATTGACCAGAAAGCCTGGGAGAGTTTTCGTGTTTGTCATGGATGCCAATAGTTGGAGGGCGGCGCAACCTCTTTCACAGGCTCAGGGTGGTGACGTCGCCGGCATAGCAGCTGGGCCGGCTGCACCAGCACCGGCTTCAGGAGCCTTGGAGACGGGCGATTGGCGGGCCCAGCTTCAACCGGATTCCAGGCAAAGGATCGTTAACAAGATGTAAATTTTATGTACTCTTACCGAATCTGTTTGGGAGCTTGGCGCGTATATGTCTATCAATACGAATTTGGAAGCCAATTCTAGAATTGAACTTATCTTACAAACCTTAAATTTCTCCGATTTTACTATCTGCTGGTATACCAACAACATAGCTACTTTTCAGATGAATCATCAACTTAATAGCTAGACTTTTGCTTTTTATAACGTTTTTCTGTCAATCTATACACAATACGAACCCCTCCTGAAACATTGAAACATTAGTCTCTATGCTCATTCAGGAGACTCCCGAAACTGCAATATTTTGTTCTTATTGTAAAAATGTAAACTAGGCAGTATCAAATTCAAGGCTTATATTTGTGAATCATGACTATAAGTTCTGCTTCTTGTTTAAGTGGGTTGGGTGGGTAAGATATGAGTAGCATCAGTGTATGTGATGATGTCCCGTGTGCTAGTTCTCTTGTAAGGTTGGCGATAGTATCCTTATCAATTCTTATCTTAACTGATATATGTAATATGATGGTATAGAATGGAAACTTTAAAGCGGCATCTTCCATTCTCCGGACAAGAGGGGCTGCAAGAACTTAAGAAAATTGCTGTGAGGTTTGAGGAAAAAATTTATGCTGCAGCTACAAATCAGGTATGCATAGTATTGGTTATTCATTATTTTTAGTCTTCATCTAGTCAACTTCCTTGAACTGTTAAATGTTTGTTTATGAGTTCTGAGATTATCTATGCATCGCAAATGACGTTCTTCAATCAACTTAATTTCTATTGCAGTCAGATTATCTGCGGAAGATATCCTTAAAGATGTTGTCAATGGAGACAAAATCAGCACAAAATCCCATGGCTAATCCTCTGCAGGCTAATATTGCCAATAGTAGTCAAAATGCTCAAGGTATAGGTAATACTAGATGTTTGTGACTAGTTAGTGTGTGTTTGACATATCTGGATGACCACTGACAGGGATTCATAGACTCTGGATTAGGGTAGCAGGTATGATTGAGAGAAACTGGCAAACTGCTACGGGATATTTCAGAGCTTTCTTGGTTCATTAGTTAGGGTGCGCTGTGTGGATGTTTGGAGTACTTTGTTTACTTTCTTATCTGCTTATTTTCTTACCTACTTCTCTGCATCCTTTTGATGTCGCTTTCTCCTTTATAGGAATATAGGGTATTTTTGCACCTTTTAGAAGTTAAGGGGTGCATGTGCATCTCCACATATACTTCAGGATATTTGCAAATTTTTCCTATACAATTATACCATCAGTCAAATCAGTACATTTTTTAACTGTCTTGGTGAAGTGGCATATATAAATCTACGTTATAATTTTGTAGCCATCTTTTATGTGAATGGTTATGGATGTTAGACACTACGAGTGTCTGCTATTATACTCTTGCCTCATTTTAAGGCAGCCCATCCAATGAAAATGGTATTGGTTACTCATTCTCAGTGTAGACAAAAGCACGCGCTTGGTTGCTTAATTGCACCAGTTGAGGCACAATAGATGTTAAGTGCCCAATAGTCTTCCAGGCGAGGCTGTCTCTGTCAGGCGCAATATAAGCGCAAAGAGGCATAGAAGCACACACCTTATTCACCTGGACTAAGAAAGTCTTCTCAGCTTATTTTTCTTTTTGAAAACATGATTTGGACCCTATTTTAAGATATAGCACATCCAACTAGCAGGGAAAAACAACACAAACCCTGTTCAGCCCTTCTCAGTGGGTGGATTAAGGAGTCTACAGCACTGATGTTACGGCATCGAGATGCTGCGGAGTTGTCGCCATTTGTCATCGCCTCACCTGAAGAAGACTGGGCAACTGCATCATCATCCAGCCAGGGGCATTGTCGAGGCAAGAAGTCAACCCCAGAAATTACAAACGGATCTTTCCAGAAACCAGAAACCTAAAAAGATTTAGTAACTAGTATATTGGAAACTAATTTAATTATAAATATGGCAGTCCAATCTTATGAATTGACAAAAGAAGTCTGAGATTTTTCATTGCTATGCTTGGAATTTCTCATCGCTCATAACTCCGCAAAGTTTATCTCTTTGCACTTCTGCAGTCGTTCGTTACTTCGTATTTGATTCTTTTATGTTTATCTTTTTCTTTCTTTTTGTTCTATTCTTTATCTTTTTAATACTTCATATATATGTATTATCGTGCAGCGGTGCAGATTGCCAATAGTGTATACTTAATTAGTACTACGTATAAATTTAAGCTTATACTTCGTAAATATAAGTATGTAAATGGAAGTATGACTATAGCCCATTATTCAACTTCGTTATTACTATATATTCAAATACACACTCACACACAAATATCAGCATATTATCATTTCTAGATTTTGAGTTACAAACCTTGTCTTGATTAGTAGTTGTTGATTTCAATGCTATGTAATATATAATATAATTTTTAATATATAATGTATTACAAATTAAATATAATATTTTATATTTAAACATGGGAAAATCGCACTTTAGTCCCTTAAATAGTCACCGTATTGAAATGTGAGACGCGTATTTCAGAGATTGTAAATGTCACCCCTCAAATGTCCAAATTGCTCTAAATGTGGTCTTTTGAGGGTGAAATGTACTTCTCGCCCACATTGTACATTTCACCCTTCAAAGGATCACATTTACAGCAATTTGGACAATTGAGGGTGACATTTACAATCTCTGAAATACGGGTCTGACATTTCAATACGGTGACTATTTGAGGGACTAAAAGTGCGATTTTCCCTTTAAACATTATATATGGTGCAACTAGTCAGTAGTCACCTAATTGTCGTCTAGGTGATAAGGCAGTCGGCTGGCGCCGTGCCTCGCCTTACCGCTGTGACAACCATGGTTTACATAAATTTAGGAAGATCTTTATCGTGGCATTCTTTCCTGTGTTTGACTCACCCCACACAACAAGCCCAAGGTATCCTCCTTTTTTTGTATCATCTTCTTGTTCTTTTAATTTCTTTGTTCCTTCTTATTTAAAAGTCTATATCTTCGTTTTTTATTTTCTTCTGTTTTTGTCCTCCTAACAAGTTTTTTTACTTGTTTTGTATTTTAAAAATAGGGAAAAGTACCAAATTAGCCCTCAAACTAACACTGATAGTGCATATCACCCCATGAATTAAAAAAACCTCCAATCAAACCCTTCAAGTCGGCGATAAAGTGCAAATCACTCCTTCAATAAAAAAGTTGCAATAAAAAATTATCTAACTCGGCGATATAGCACAAATAACTTTCTTAAGTTGTAATTTACCGGTTAAAGCTGATGTATGTCATCTATTAAAAAAGTTATGCCACATAAGATTCATTTATTCACCTCAATATATCTCACGTAAAACTTTTATTAATTGCTTATAGAACGAGGTTGAGCACGCAATCTCTGGAGACGCTCAAGTGTTTCCACTATTGGCTGAAGACCCATCGACGAACTCAAGAACTAAACATAACACCGTCCCGCCACTTCATGAAGAAAATGTAGACTAGGAGATCCATGTAATCCTTCTCTATTGTTGCTTAAATATTTTTGTGATTGTACAAGTCAATTCAATGTTTAAATATATTTACATTTCATTTTTAATGTGTATAGTTTTTTGTTTGTATTTATATAATTTTTTAAGTAATATAAAAATGAAGTGGATAAATGAATCTTATGTGGATTTTTTTTTAATAAATGACATGCATCAGCTTTAACCGATAAATTATAATTTAGGAAAGCCATTTATGCTATATTGTCGAGTTGGAGAATTTGATTACAGTTTTTTTTTAGTTTAAGGGGTGATTTGCACTTTATCGCAGACTTGGAGGGTTTGATCGGAGTTTTTTTTAGTTTAGGGGGTGATTTGCACTATCAGTGTTAGTTTGGGGCTGATTTGGTACTTTTCCCTTAAAAATATGACTATGGTTTACAGGGTATGGGCGGTGGAACTTCAAGTATATGAACCCCCTTATTAATGATGGTTGATCCTTCAGGGTAGTAACTTTGAATTGGGCTAGAATCTAACTAAAAATTAAATTTTAGTTTTATTATTTGAGACTTATTTTATGGCTTTTGGTTTGGTGTTTTTGTTTTTGCAAGTTGTGATTTTTTAATGCATTTAGTTCAATATTATGTTGAATATATAGCATATTTGATAAATCTAGAGTAGTTCACATAATATATTTTCTAAACACCACAATTGACATGAGTCAGGCAAAAGTTTTTTGTGCGTCTTGCGCCTAAGGCGATAGAGCACTATGGTGGCTTGAGTGTGCTTCACGACTTTGCCTACCTTGCTCATGTTCAAATTGAGCCTCTCAGTGATCTCGTTATTACAATGGCAGCTCTTACAGGGAAATATTCTTGTTCCCTGTGTTTGATTCTCTTTTCTATGAGTAATTTGATGCCTTATTGGGTATTATAGCAGGATAAGAAGCACATAAACTTCCCACAATTCACTTTTCTTCGTGTCCAAAATTTTGAATTTCGGAAGTGTGCCCGAAACTCGTAATTTTCACATTCCCGTTTTGAGAGTTTTCGTAAATCAAAACAATTGGGAAACCTGTTTAACTAATTGATTAGTGTTTTACAAACTTTGAGTTTCCAACTTTGATTTCCAACGAGATATAAAACGCTTGAAACACAACAAAATACAGAAATTTATGATCAAGTCAAATACTACACCAGTTTTGGAGTCAACTCGGCAATTACTTTTAATTCTTGAGTGATACATACCCATCCTTCAATATTTTGTAATTGAAGTCTGAATATGAGTTTTTGAACTCAATAAGATCTTTCTAACGACCTATAAAACCCTTTAAACAGAATGAAACATAAAACATTTCACAACCCGCGTTTTGGAAACCTGGAAATGCAGCAACTTCAAATTCCCGTTTTGGGCCTGTTTCCATAATAAAAAAGAATTGGGAAACCCATTTCCCTAAATAATTAGGTTTCCAAAAATTTCAGGTTTCCATTTTTTTATGAGACTTCTTGTTGGGAAACATTGTCTTTTTAAAACGTTTTAGTGAATATTTATGAGATTTCTTTCTTAGCAATGCATTACTGAAAATGTATTGCATTTTATGTTTAAATATGTAATAATATGTAATAACTTAGAAATGGGAACATGTAAACTACATTTATGTCGGGTAGGCAAACAAAGTTATACTACGTACTACGTATAAAAAATATATGTATACATATATGAAAATATTTATAAATAGTAGTATTTCATATCCTGTATTTTTTATATCTCATTTTGCTTTTCCCGTTTCTGGTTTTCATGCTACTTGAATTTACACGTTTTTCTAATGTTTCTTATCCTATATTTTTATTTGTGTTTCTGTGCTACTTAGAAAGTAGGTTTCCTTTATTTATCACTTGGGTGTGGCCTTGTCTCATATCCTTTTTTCATGTCACATGATACTTTTCTCTAGGTTCACATACAATGCAGCCCCAAGTTATTAACCAAGCTCAGCCACTTTCTGTTACAATGGTGAGCAATCAATCACAAGCCCGTCAGCAACAACCATCACAAAATATTCAGAACACTATCACATCATCTGGAGTGCTTCCTAGTGCAGGCAGCTTGACTCAGACTAACATTCCAAATGCAGTAGGCCAAAATTCGAATTTGCAAAATGTACAAGGCATACCAGCTGTTGCTCAAAGTTCAGTTGGAAACACCATGGGCCATTCAAATGTGGTTGCAAATTCTATCAGACAGATGCAAGAGAGGCAACAACAGGTTGTTTCGCAGCAGCAACAACAATCTCAGGCCCCTAATACACATCTTTACCAACATCAACTACGCCAACAAATGTTGAAACAGAAGTTCCAATCTCAAGTACAGCAGCAACATGAGCAACAACAGCCAAACCTACTACAACAAACTCAGATGCAATCTTCTCAGCAAGGAGTCATGCAGCCTTCTACAGCACAATCTAATCTGTCCAACCTTCAGCAGAATCAACAGTCTCCTGTTCAACAACAAAGTCAACCCATGATCCAGCAAAGATCACAATCAGTCCTCAGGCAACATCAGCAACAACAGACACCCATTATTCATCAACAGCAGGGAACTATGATGCAGCAGCCAATGATACAAAGTCAACAACAACAATCTCAACAACAACATCTGATTGGGCAGCAGCAAAATGTTGCAAATATCCAGCAGAACCAATCAATTGGCCAGCAAACCATGTCTGACATGCAGCACCAGCAAACTAGGCTGATGGGCCTACAGAATAACTATACTAATGTTCAACAGCAGCAGTTAGTTAATCAGCAAGTTAATGTTCCAAGTGTGCATCAGCAGCAAATAGGCACTCAAGGGAATGTTTCTGGCCTGTCACATCAGCAGCAGTTGGCTGGAAATCAATCTAGTAGTTCTGGCCTGACTGCTAATCAGCATCCTGTCCAGATGTCACAACATTCTAATGTTCAAGTGCAACAACAAATGCTTCCAAGTGCTACACTTTTGCCTGCTCAAGGTCTTCAATCTCAGCCGCAGCAGCAAATGCTGCCTCAGAATCCATCACAGCCTGGAACTTTACAGCCACCATTGGGTTTGCAGCAGCAATCAAATGCTATACAACGAGAAATGCAGCAGAGGCTTCAAACTCCTAATCCTATGCTACAACAGAACATGATTGATCAGCAGAAGCAAAACTTTCAACCACAAAGGGGTACTCCGGAACCATCATCCAGTATGTCTTTATCCATGTCAAATCAAAATTTCACACTATTTTCCATGACTTTTTCTTTTTAGTAATAAACATTTGCTGCTTTCTCGCTGAATGTGGAGTTGCTCTATTCCTTGTATATTCAAATGGTTTTAAAGCGTTTCTTATATTGTCATATCTAAAATATCACAAATGTATATGAATTAATATTATCAAAGTATATGCAACATTTGATTGACTTACACCCCTCCGCCTTTCCACTTACCCTCTCCTAGTCTCATGCTCTAGATTTGATGCATGTTTCCCTAGTGGAGAAGTCTTATTCCTGGTAAAAGCTGTTTAATCCATGTTTACATTTGAAATTGTTAATGTAGCGTCTTTAGATTCAACAGCTCAAACTGGAAGCATACATTCTGGTGATTGGCGGGAAGAGGCTTACCACAAGGTACTGCTTTCATCAGCTATCTTATGAACTAATGAATGTTTAACTTTAATGTTTTCTTTAATCTTTATTGAAGATACAGATCAGGTGAAAGATATCAATAAGAAGTAAGAACTACTCAAGAAGAGAATCCCGTGGTTTTTTGTTCCTCCTACATTTCACTTTTTGTTGTAGTGATTGGATAAGATAATTATGGTTTTGGAGATAAAATTATAAATTTACAAGATGCTTGATATTGCTTCACATTTTCTAGATGGAATTACCTAATGCCTTTAATGTACTCATTCTTTTTTACTAAAAACCTGATAGGGACCTACCTGTTAGACTAATAATAGAAGTAATAATAATAATATTAGTAATAAGGGTCTCTATTATAAATAGACGGGAAGGGGGAGTAGTAAGTAGGCTTTTGGGACTTGGGTCTGGACTGGGAAGATTAGAGAGCTATTCTCTTCTCTTTGGGAGGCTTCGGCCTTGGTTACTGTATTGTTCATCTTCTCTAATAAAATTCAGTTTGATTTCTTGATTTCTTGATTTCTTTCTGTAAACTGTTCTGGAATTGGGAGGTCTCTAACATTGGTATCAGAGAAAACGATCTTGTTACCTGAAGTCCTGTACTGGAACGATGGAAGATTGGGGACTGTTTTGGGAAAAGAGGCGTGAAGAAAACAGGAGGTTTTGCGAAAAGATGAGCGAAGATACCAGGTGTTTTTGCGAAGAGATACGCAAATTAAGCTTGCAAAGAAACAATCGGCACTCGCGAGGAAAGTCGAGGACCAAGTCGCAGAAGGAATCGCCGAAAGAGACTGAGCCGCGAAAGTCGCAGGAGTCGTGGAAAGAGCCGCGAACTGTTTCGCACTCGCGAAAGGATTGGTGCGGAAAATTGGGGAAGTTTGCAGAAAAGAATGAGCGCGAAAGAGTGGAGAAGGAGAAGAAGCCATCAAACCTGGAAAAGTAGAAACGTACGAAGAACAAGGGAAAGGTGGAAAGTGCTGGGGCGAAGAATATGAACCCAGAGTTGGCAGAGTTGCGCACCAAGATGCGGCCCCAACGTCGCAGGAGAGGAAGATCGCGGAAGGTACGTCGCTGCGTGAATTCGAAGAGCAAAGGTCCATCTCAGTCGGAAGATACTTCTTTCGGTCCTCTGGCTTCGACTCAAGTAGAAAACCCTAGTTTGCATTCTCTATCTGAGTCCCCAGAGTCGGTTAATCAGCAGCAACCGGAAGGTACACACACCTATGGCGAAGAGGATGGCAAGGAGAAATCTTTAGTTAATCTTGAACCTCAAGCTGAAACAGTTGATGGATTTTCCAGACGTAAGATGTTTTCCAAGTACGATCTTGACCAGTCAGATCTTGAAACCAATAGGTTCAAACTTCTTCAGGTAGGCAATATTTCTTTTCATCTTGCAAACAAGAAGAACTGGCCAAATGACTGCAAGACTGAAATGATGTATCGCCAGTCATCAAACATTGTGTTGGAAGGATTGAACAAGTATGATAATCTTACATTGGAAGGTGTTACTTCTATGAAAATGAATCAAAAAGGATTGGGGCATTATGTATCTATGTTGAAATATGATGTAGGAAGAAGACATGTTGTACAATTGCCAGATTATGTTTTTCCTAATCCTGCAACCGGAAATTCATGCTTGGAACGAAAGAGGTCTGGTCCAGGGATTCTTGAGGATCGGGTTCATCCTTTTTCTTGGGAATCATATGCCATTATTCAAGTTGGGGTAATGATTTCACATGGAGGTCCTCTAAATTGGATGGAGGGTGTGAGCAGAGGAAGGCTTGCTATTGCTGATAAAGGGGCTGAAACTGCTGAGAAGCACTCTTTCACTATGTTTCAAGAAATTTTGAAACCCAAAATTGAAGGACTATCTACCCATTACAATTCAAGGGATCATCAATACTATTCCCCAGTTGTTTCCTTTGTTCTTGTGAATCTGAATGGAAAGGAACCAAGTATTCTTGACTCCCCTACCAACTTGTGGGTAGGCTTTTTAACCGGAGACCTCAGAATTACCAATTCTTTAAATGAGAAAACAGTGGAATATTTTGTGGAACAACATATTGAAGCAAATGCAAAGGTGAAATTAGAACAGGGTTGGAAAATGGCCATGTCATTTACTGGTGATGGATCTGTCTACCTGCCAGAAAACCATCTTTGGAAGTTTTACATAGGTGATAGGCTTTCTTGCTTAGCATCCAGTACAGTATTAGTTTCAGAACATAGAAATCATGAGGAGCTGCAGAAAAGTGAAGAAATAATTTTTGATATGGAGTGGGGGAAGGTGACTGAACCAAATGAAGATTTACTTTCTGCTGCTGCAAGTTCTGTGAATTCAAAAGATCTTGTACTGAAGTCCCTAGTCCATCAACCAGTTAGATATTGGGAAGGAAGAGGTGCAAGGAAGAAGAAGAAGCAGAAGATCTTGGCCGTCTCTTACCGCCCACCTTGAGGGCAAGGTGGATGTTTAGGGAGGGAGTATTGATAGGGACCTACCTATTAGACTAATAATAGAAGTAATAATAATAATATTAGTAATAAGGGTCTCTATTATAAATAGACGGGAAGGGGGAGTAGTAAGTAGGCTTTTGGGACTTGGGTCTGGACTGGGAAGATTAGAGAGCTATTCTCTTCTCTTTGGGAGGCTTCGGCCTTGGTTACTGTATTGTTCATCTTCTCTAATAAAATTCAGTTTGATTTCTTGATTTCTTGATTTCTTTCTGTAAACTGTTCTGGAATTGGGAGGTCTCTAACAAAACCTTTCTCCCTAGTTTGTGTTGGATTTGCTGATATTATAGCAGTTTAGTTATTGGTTTTGTTGTTATACCTTTTTGATTGCCTAGTTGAAAGCCCCATTGTTATCTGTGACTTATAAACTGAGCAACTAAAGCTTTGGTATTGCAGCTCAAGTGCTTGAAAGAGACGTATTTTATGGATCTAAATGAATTGTTCCACAAGATTTCTAGTAAAGTGGCTCAGGTGAGATGCTCAGATGCACCCATTCTTATGAGCATTAATAATTTATAATTGCATCTGGTTTAACTTCTAACTTCCCAACTTCTAGACCTAGTTGAAACATATGTATGCCAGGTATGCCACTTATCTGTTCTTGCTCTCTAGAAGTTTAAACATTTCTATAAAAGCAGGAATGTGTTTTTAATTTTAAACATGTTTTATTATGATATAAATTCAGGGTAGTTAAAGCTATGAGTTTTCTAAAAAGAAAGCGATGGAGGTAGTGCATTCTCGGTCTTTTGGCTTATACAAAACTAACATATAAAGCCTTGAGCTACTCCTTAAGTCTTAATTTGTTATGAGAGCCAATTAAGTTCTAACTTCTAACAAGCAATTAGGTCCTGATAAACCTTGACATTGATAACAAGCATACTAACTAGAAGATTGGTTTGCTCCCACAAGCCACCACTGGCTGTGTAAAAAAATAAAAACAAACATATCACCATCATCATTACCCCAGTGCCGCAAAGGCTCCCACCTATGGCGGGGTAAGGGGGGTCAGATGTACACAATCTTACATTGACTGACTGCTGCTTCACAACAAAGAAGCGCAGACAATTTAGTGAGCCATTTTGCTTTATTCCATCATATTCCTAAGCGAAAAAATAGTGAATCTTTGGCTCCATTGCAAAAAAAATAAAAACAAATATATAAAGCCTACATATGAAAGCCTTGAGCAACTCCCGATAAACCTTGATCAATTAGATTCTGATAAACCTTGACATTGACAACAAGCACACTAACTACAAGATTAGTTTGCTCCAACGAGCCACAATCCTGCAGGGCGTATTATGTTATCCCACGCCGGCTGCGTATAAAAATACAAAACTAACATATATAGGTAAGCTTGAACATCTCTTTCTGTCAGGTTGACCTTTTAGGATGAAACCCCAAATCATAATAAAATACTAGGTAAATTCCATCTAGGGCTCAACAAATTTGTTTTTTCAAGCTCTTCCCTCTTTTTGGTAGCATTGTGCAATCCTGCGAGATCTAATCGGGAAACTGGAGCTGAAATAATTTTGGAATAATAAAGCAAAATGGCTCACTAAACTGCCTGCGCTTCTTTGTTATGAGCCAGTAGTCAGTCCATGTAATTTTGGACGTGATTTTCATCATGGGTCATCCAGAAACAGTCTATGTTTAGTACAGGAGTAAAGCTGCGTACATCCGGGTAATGTTGTTGTATTTATTTCGACTATTGCGGTTAGTCTTCAAGCAGGAAATCCAGTACATAATTTCATAACTGCTTGTGTTAGCGTAACCACACTTCTGAAATGGGAGGGCCATATCATTTCCGAAATGAGACCCTAGATCTAAAACAAATACATTCAGCAGTTTGAAATTGGTTTCTGAAACTAACATTTGGGGTTCATAAATAAGTGTGCTGTAGAAAATTTCTAGCCCATTAAAAACTAACCACATTATTAGACTCAGTCAGTCAGAGTAAGGGCATTATTTTCATTTCATTTATTGAAAAATTGATGTCTTTTTCTTAGACACGTTTTGTATTCTCTTTTTGCAGCATGATTCTCTTCCCCAACAACCCAAAAATGACCAAATGGACAAGATCAAACAATTTAAGCACATGATCGAACAGCTTTTACATACGTTGACGATTAACAAGAATGACATTCAACCACAACACAAAGATAAACTGGCTCAGATCGAGAGGCAAATAATATACTTTCTTAGCCCGAACCGGACTCGGAAACCTCAGCCTTCACAAAACTTTGATGGCCAAATTAATCTTCAGTCTCAATCTTTAAATTTACCAAGCACAATGGCTTCAATGCAGCAGAACAATTTGAACAACATGCAACAGCATAATCCCCTGTCTTCTATAACTGCAGTCTCAAACTCCCAGCAAAACATGCCGTCTTCAATGCACAATGGAGCTAGCATGGACATGATTGGGCAGGGTAGTTCATTAAGTTCGCTGCAGCAGGTTTCTAGTGGTGCTTTACACCAAAATTCTATCAATGGTCCTCAACAAATGAACCTAAGCTCGTTTTCATCACATGGAGGAGCAAATTCACTTCAGACAAACCACCAAGAAAACTCTAATATGCTACAGCATCCTAGGCAACATGATCAGCAAATGCTGCAGAACCAACAGCTCAGACAACAGATTCAGCAGCGGCAGATTCAGCAACAGATTTTTCAGAAGCAACAACTACTGCAACAGCAGCAGCAGCAAATAAAGCAAGCGCAAGTTCCACAAGCTGCACAGTCGATGACTCAACTTCACCAAATGGTTGATACAACAAATGATCTAAAGATGAGACAGCATATAGGTGGTAACAAATCAGGTGTCTTCCAGCAGCATCAGCCACTTGGCCCTCGCGTGGCTTTGCATCACTCACAGCTTAATTCAAGTATATCTTCTCCTCAATTTCATCAGACATCATCTCCTCAGCTTTCCCAGCACCCTTCACCTCAATTTGAGCAGCAAAATGCTTTGGCGTCTCATACAAAAATGGGAACACCTCTTCAATCTGCTAGTTCACCTTTTGCTCTATCTCCTTCTACTCCCTTTGCTCCATCCTCAATGTCAGGGGACTTTGACAAAATTAGCATGGGCGCTCCATCTCTTCTTGGCCCTGGGAATATAGGGATTCAGCAAACAACATCTGCATCGGCTCAGTCTCTAGCTATCGATACTCCGGGGATATCAACATCACCATTGCTTCCAGAAAATAACAGTCTAGATGGAACACATGCAAATCTCTCAACTTCTGTTTCTGGGAAATCAACAGTTGAACAACCTATAGGACGCTTGATTAATGCAGTAAGTATAGTTCCACTTTTTTGTTATGACTTGCATTGTTGTTCTTAAGTCTTGCTTTGACCTACATATATTATATTCAGGTAAGAACACTGTCAACTAAGGCATTGAGTACCTCTGTTAGTGACATCAGCTCTGTCATCAGCATGATGGATAGAATAGCTGGATCTGCGCCTGGAAATGGCTCTAGAGCAGCTGTTGGTGAGGATTTGGTTGCCATGACGAAATGTCGGTTGCATGCAAGAAATTTCTATACACATGATGGACCTACTGGAGCAAAAAGAATGAAATGCTATACTACCTCAAATGTAGTGTCATCTAGTGGGAGTGCTAGTGATGGGTTTGCACTATGGAATTGCACTGAAACATCTGATTTGCAGTCTACAGCAACTTCCAGCATTCAAAAACTCAAGGTATATTGTCTGTCTAATAATTCTCTTTCACTTATCAAAGTAGATCATATTCTACCTGCACAATAGTATATATTTCTCTTTCCTATCTTACAATATGTTTCAGGGAAGATACTAATTTTTGAATAGATGAAAACACAAATGAGTATTGTACGAAATATGGGATACATTTGTCATGTATATCAGTGCAGGGATTATTGTAAACTTTCTAACCCATACTATTGAGGAAGATATTCCTCTATGATTCTCTGTTTAATAAACAAACCATCTTTTTCTTACCTATTCATTGGTTGCAGTTTTGGTTTTTAATCCTCTAACCTTTACTTCTGTAATAGAACTGAAAAGAGGTTGTTTCTTTGACTGTATCTAGCTCAAACTGCTGTTGAGATATGAGCAAAAGTTGGTACCACTAGAAACCTAGAATTGCAAGATTGCTCATTATTAGAAGAATATGAGACATACAAGTCGATCCCTTCCTAAAGAAAGCAGTTTCTTTGAATGATAGTATGAAGTTGTGGCGAACTATGTTAGCAATGAAATTTGATTTCTTAAAAAAGTCCCACGAAGGAGAAAAACAAAAGACACATCTTTGAGATGGAAATTGTTCTTAGAAGGTGTTCCCGTTCAAAGGACCAAGACAATACTTCTTTGACAAGACACTTCCCGTTTAAAGGATATGAGAAGATTTTTTAGGGATGATCAAGTGGGAAGAGCATCTTGGTACATAGCGACTGTCTCATTTGACATCACAAAATGGTTTGTTTGCCTGTGTAGGTTAACCATGCACTCATTGAAGAGATAAGGGAGATCAATCAGCGACTGATTGATACTGTTGTGGAAATCAGTGATGAACCAAGTGTTCTGGCTTCTGCAACTGATGGAGGTGAAGGTGGCACCATGGTTAAGTGCTCTTTTATGGCTGTGGCTCTCAGTCCAAATTTAAAATCTCAATGTGCTTTGGCTCAAATGGTATTTTCTGCTGCCCACACTTATGACTAAGTAGATCTTCAATTGACTCTTTAAGTTTGTTTAATATTAATTTGTTTTACTGGACAGTCGCCAATTCAGTCATTGAGATTACTTGTTCCTGCAAACTATCCAAATTGCTCCCCAATTTTCATAGATAGCTTTCCAGTTGAAGTCAGGTAAGTAGTACTTAACTAACCACTATATAACTTTTCACAGGTTTTGTCTTAAATTTGTACGTATTCTAATGTGAGTTAATATGCCTGCATGGTCTTTGAAGTTAACCCCCCTCCCCGAACAAAATAAAGAATTAAGAAAAAAATGAAAATCGTAATCCTTACTATTGTTGCTCATAGTAATACCCACTATTTTATTATTTCTATTTAATCTAAACTATATCGTCCGTCTGCCATATGATTTGTTGATTTTGTTCTAATCTGCTATAGCAAGTCACTTTTAAATATAAACTAAGTGTATTCTATAAATAATTTCAATGATCTTTGTTTTTCTTTTAATAACCCCAACTATCAACTCATGTCTGCTCTTCATTTAAGAAATCCCAACCATCTTGTTTTTTACAAAAACATAAAAAGTATATATTTTCAAAACTAGATTTTAAAAGACGCAAATGTATTAAAATCTAAAAGCATACCATGTTAAAAAAATCTTTCACTTTTCCTTTTATAAAAATTATTACTTGTACTTTTTGATAAATCTTTATTTTGAATTCCTTTACAAATTTATGATGTTTTTGTTTCCCAATATTGGTTTCTAATGTTTAGAAAGAATTACATTTTATATTCCTTTGCACTTTCTTAGTTTTAAATATTTAGATTCGCATCATAAAAATATCTAGATTTTCTGTTTGTTAAATTTTCATTTTGACTTATTTTGATTTAGTTGTTATTAAAACGTGCATATAATTTTATGTTTTTATATATATTTTTTAAGTTTTTATAATATTTCAACTTTTTTGTATCTATTTTTGTTTGTACTTATAATATCTCTAGACTTTCGGTACCATTCGTAGTAACTAACTAATTTTTCAATTAATTAGTATCTATTTTTGTAATTTTCTTTTTCTAACTTTTAACTTTTCCTACAAAAATTGTACTTTTTACATTTATTTATACACTTTATTTTATACTTCTATATTTTAATTTCTCAAAATGAAATACTCCGTAATAAATTTGATTATAGTAAAAAAATATTTACCATTCTTGACTTTTTTGCGCCAATTTTCGTTACTTTGTGAACAATAAAAGTGGATTGTTTATAGTTCAAATTATTTTAATCAGATATTTCTTTTTTGAGTGTGTTAATAGGTAGCTGGTCATGTGGGACCATTATTGACAGAGGGTTGCTATAGTTAGTAATATTAAGAAGAATTCAATATATGAGATCATTATTATTCAATTTTTCTGAAGCATAACCAACTGATAAATAATGATCAATTATCTATTACACCACAGTAAAGAATATGAAAATCTGTCGGGCACAATTAGATCAAGGCTTTCTACCACCCTTAGAAGTCTTTCACAACCGATGTCATTGGGAGACATTGCAAGGGCTTGGGATTGTTGCACTCGGGCAACTATTTCCGATAATGTTCAGCAATGCGGTGGGGGAAGTTTTAGCTCGAAGTATGGGACATGGGAAGACTGCATGACCACAGCAGCCTAACCATTACTCTTGCAATAAGTTATGTTGTAGTTTGGAACATTGCTTTGTTATCTATGTGTTGTGTGGAACATCTCTTTAAAAGATGTACAGTGTACACCATCCTTGTAAAAAACTGAGGAAATGTAATCATTTGTTTTACTGCTGATCTGTTTTCTTTCCTGTAGGCTATTTAATCTTTTAAGGAGGTTTGAATGAAATATCTTTGAACGTACAAGAACTAAAGAAGCTCTAGTTAGTGCTTCTCCTAAAGGCACAAGAGTTCTTGAATATGAAAAGAAATTAAAAAGCTGTGTGATAGTCATATATGGATAATATGAGATGAAAATTCCCTAGATGTGAGTATGTGGCTATAATCCAAAATATGACTAAAAACCCCCACATGTGCCTGTGCTGTATGAGTAATTAAAAGGAGCAATGCATACTACATTATAATATACCCAAAGACCAGAGGGCTGGAGTAATTATAATATACCCAGAGACTAGAGGGCCGGAGTAAATACTCTTGATACCCTTAAAAGTTAGTTTGTGACTTTGTGCCATAACAAAAGGATTTCTCTATAGTCCATATTATTTTTTTTGTACAAGGAAAAAAGCGTTATTTTGTGGCTCTGTCCATGCGTTAACATATCTAGCAGGACTATAGTACTAAACTTATGAATAATGCCAAAGAGTTTTACGCAATTGGAAGTTTGGACTTTGGAACCAAATTCTCCATCAAAGTAAAATGATGGCGATGGAGGTAGGGATGAGCGTGGTTGGTGCAAGGATGGCATTGAATAAAAAAGAAAACTGGTATAAAACAAAAATAGTTAAAATATTGATAAGCATGTACAGCACTTAAAGAATATGGGCAGATTAGACGATGTAATGAGCGAGTAATCCTTGCAGCTTACAGAGTTACAGTACATAATTAACAATTTAACCACATTGGAAGTTTGTATGATAAAATTGTACAAATGTACAGTACTGATGGGCACAAAATTTCATGTGCATTTGTTGTGCATAAATCGGGGTGGATCCGTTCTAGCCTGATTCTAGTTTGTACCAGCTGATCTTTGAAGAAAAGTATGGATGCTCGGGCTTGAGACTTGTATTTTCGGTTCTTGTTTGGTTCTGATCCCTTAGTCGGTCCCGGTCCCATTTCGTTTTTTAATATTTGAACGCTTTATCCCTACACCCATTGTGTGATTAGCTTTTAAATGGACACCGACTCTTATAAAATGCTTTCCAATAGTTTTAATGCAAAAAAAAGAAAGTTAAACGATCTTGATCCGATCCAATTCTCTCTTCTTCTTCATCTATACTCTCTATTATGGCAAATTATATGGTACGGTCGGTTGTATCTAGAGTATGGTACACCTGGCATTTTGTAATTAGTTTCTATTCAGAGCCTAATTGTTAAGTTACTTCTTTCTATTATTCTTCTTTTTTGGTCGCTTCTTATGGTTGGTTTGCTGATTACTTTGCTGATAGTTTTTTTCCCCTGTTTTCTTTTCTTTTTTTGTTCGTAACTTTTATTTGTTGTTCTTTCTTTCTTTTTCTTTATTTTTTTCTTTTACATTTTTTTGCTATAATTTTTATTCAATTATTATAAATGTATAATATAATACATTATTTAATGTTCGAGTTTGTTTTTTTTTTTCAATCAACCTTCTAACTTAATTTTCTTTTAATTTGTGCATTATAAAGTATTTTAGGTATTATGTTTTTTTTCTATTTTTAGTTTTAAGATAAATATTTATTAGCTTATTCGATATTGTGTATTAATTACTAAAATGAGTTTTGTGCTATACTAAAAATAGTGTAAAATAAATATACATGAGTAAATATTATAAAAAGAACAGAACTATATTTGAAATTCATGAACAAAAGACTATAAATTATTTCGAACTCATATATATGTGTATATACACAAATATTATATATATATATATGTGTGTATATATATATGTGTGTGTATATATATATGTGTGTGTGTGTATATATATATATATGTATATATATATATACATATACATATATATATGTATATATATATATATATGAGAGAGAGAGAGATCAAATGCAAACTCATCTTAATATGCTAACCTACAAACCTAATCCTAACCCTCCATCTAATTAGATAACCTACAAACTATCAATAAACTATATATATATTGATAGTTTATTAAATGTAAATAACGAATCTACTAGATGTACACATTATAGAAAAGGTTTTTATGTTATATTCTTTTTTTTTTTCTGATTGAAATTTTATCTGAAATTTGGTGTGAATAAACTAGATTTGATGAAATCATTTGACTAACTTTCCGGCTGAATTTTTACTTCCCTTTCCTTATTTTTTTCCTAACACTTTTGTATAAATTGAGGCCCAATGCAAAGGAAATTATAAATTTTATTTTTTCCTAAGGAAAAAAATAAGGAAAGGGAAGTAATTACAAGAAGGATATTACGGGATTTACATTATTTACTTGCTAAACATAATATACTTCATGTTTTGTTAGGAGTTTCTGACCCGAACCGCCGTGCGGAATTCGCCTTTTGAGGTGGTTTCTAATGGAATCTTTTGATAAAATTATGTGAGAATTTTTTCTGATTATGTCCACAAAACTTTAACTTAAAAAATCAGAAAGTTAGTAAAATAAATTATTGAAAAATATTGTGCTGTTTATATATTTAAAAAGTGCAATTCTTCTTGGTTACTAGGATATTATCATATTATGGGCTTTATAGTTATTCACTTGCTTGTGTTTTGAATTTGAATTTCAAATAATATAGCCATTGGGTGGACCTTGAAACATATGTTATTCAAATTCGATTTATCTAACTTTAATAAATAGATTCATTCATAAATAATGCATATAGTTTTTACATTCATAATATAAAATTTTAAAAAATATTGGACCAAGACCAGACTGGGGCTGCACCTGGACTTTGTTCTAACTCGTGAAAAAATCATTCGAAGAAAACTCTTATTTTTTTTTAAAAAAATGAGAATTCTACAAAAACACTCATTCTCACAATTTCACTCTCATTTTAATTACTCTATCTCATTAAAATGGTCTCGGTTTTCTTTCTTCATTAATTCCACCAAGAACATCTCTAATGGGGATGTCTAGTTCTTATACACTCTTACATGTAAGTTTCATTTTTATCTCATATTACCTCCGTCGCAAAATATTTAGCTAACTCCTAAAATTTGGAAGTTGATTTTGATTAGTATAATATTATGAGAATTATAAATTTATACTTTTATAAAAGTACATTTAACAAATAACATTTTCATATTATTTTTATCTTTTAAATAGTTTTCAATAAAAATATATAGATGATAAAAGTTTTAAAGATAACTAAGCATTTGGGAGGAATGAAGTAATTTTTATGTGTAGGACTTGTACATTTCCAAAATAATTTACATTTTCATTTTTATAACTTATACTCGTTTTTCATTCACTTATACTTCTTGGATCCCATGTAAAGTCCATGTGTGACATTGTCATAGACATTATCTATACTCTACTAATATCTTTCTCATATTTTTCATTTTCCCCCATACACACTTTCTCTATATTAAATTAAAATAATCATTTTAGCTCTATCTCTTTCATATGCCACATAGGATGGACTACTCATCACTACACTATCACAAGTTTGTCATCACCTCTTCTTATCCCAATCTTGAAAACAAATTCATTACCAAATGATTAAGCTTTTAATAGCTTGTAACCAACAGAAACGACAATGAATAATACCGAGTATTAATTATCGACTCCAGTCTCCAGGTCGAATGAAGGAAAAAACTACATTGACAAGATATTCTTGTATTGACGAATGCAATAGCTATATTTATTTTAGTCTAGAGACTAGAGGTATATGGTTGGTCAATCAAGTTCTCTTGCAGACTTGCAGTGATGAATAATTACCAAATAAAGCAGGGGGGTACTTCCACAAAAACAGTCAGAGGTAGGAGAACGTTTGCCACGTGATATCTTGGCTAAAACGGCTGGGGGAACTTTCAGGGAGTAATATGTAAAGATCAATGATAGAATAGTGATTTTCATCCATTTTAGCTTAAAAATAGCATCTCATTATAATGGATTCAACCAATGCAATGAAAAAGTCAAATACGTAGTATTTAATTGAGGTGTGCCTAATTAAAAGATACCGCCAAACATGCACTAAAAGTCTAAAATAGGCCTAAAATGATGACATTTGCACAAACCAGCAACATTGTAGTACTGGAACAAGGGACAATTAATGTAGCAAATAAGGAAGTTGATATTGACTTTAATGAAGTTCATTCACCATTGTATTTTTCAATTCCAATGGCGTATTTTATACAAGTGGATACTTTCTCTTCAACAGTATGTAGTGATACATAAGTAAATGATACAAACAGAAAAACAAAACTTTGAAAAAGCTAAACCAACCAATTATTCAGAAAGAAGGGCACTAAATATCGCTAACAAATTATGATACGCCACTTGGTAGACCTTGATTACTATCAAAATCATCAAAATAAAAAGGGAAAAAAAGAATACCTAATCGAGTGACACACCGTGATGATGGAAAATAAAACTGAAAGATGAAACGGAGGCAATATATTAAGCAATGGCATATGCTAGTGTCTCATACTCCTTAGGGCGCCACATTGTCTTCTGCACACACAGCAAGCCTTCTTTGTCCTTTGAATAAGTCATCCGCACCTCATAATTCATAGACTTGAATATGTTTTCCAACTCACTTATTATCTCCGCATGGTCCCGCACTATGATCTTCCCTTCAGGTCTCAATATCCGATCCGCCTCCGCAACCAACCCCATCAAGCTACACCTGCAAAGTTTTCCCAAAAAAAGTACAAATAAAAAGAAAAATTAGATCACACATGAAAGAAAAGACGCATGTGGAAGTGAATTGCGGAGGATACATACTTTCTCTTTATCTTGGAGAAGAGATGATCCGCATGGAGAAGATCATAAGATCTAGGGTAAGTGCTGAATGATTCGCACCAATCATGATACATTCCAAAAAGACCTCTCTCGTATATTATAGGTAGCGTATCAGCAGACTCGATTGAAACAATGTTCATAACCCACACTTTCAAATCTTTTAAGGCAGCTGCAAATCTGAATACAACAAAAACGAAAGAAATATTAAAAAAAAGGGAGTTGAAGGGGCAGGAAAATATTCTCACCAACTAAACATCATCATGCATATTAATGGTAATGAACTAAGCTTACCCTCCATAAACAGCATTCATGTCCATGACATTCCTCACAGTAGACCAGTTGATCCCCATCCCACTCATGTATGACTTGGTCACAACTCGTGTCCAATGTTTGTGATCTGCAGCAAAATCTTCAGGGGCTGGCTTCCCGTACACACCTGTCTGGGAACTTAGTAACCAATAAGGTGAGTTTGCAAGCCTAGCAGGCCACATTTCTGGCCATTGAGAACCTCGAACCGATTCAGCAGTGGGAACTTTGTGCATGCAAGCTTGTAAAGGCACATTCCTAGATTAAAAAAATCATATGATATCATATCATTAGAAATGAGTACCACCTATGCTATGATATAGAGTAGCCAAAAGCTTCCAAGCTAGAAAATAGCAATCAAAATCTCACCAGGCTGCATTAGGATCATCAGACTCGTTGCAGAGCGGAGGATTTTCATCTGACCTTTGCTCATAGCACTCATTGGTAATAGGTTTGCGATAGAAGGCAGCACCTACTCCATTCAATCTATCCTTGTTCACTTTAACCATTTCCCAGCACATTTTCTTGGTTAATTTCTTCATGGCTGCCGATAACAATTCCCAATTTAGTGTAAGCTATTATGAATCTATAGTTGGGCAAATACAAGTCGTGAGATCACTTTCAAACAAGTTACCTTCCCAGATTTCAACATCTTCAGGAAGCTTCTGGTAGACAGGAGTGGCAGACCATACAAAGTACCCACCAGGTCGGAGCACACGGTTCAGCTCCAAGAGAAGCTTACCACCTAAGAAGCAGCAAAAAAATTATCAACTGTTTTTAGAAAATGGAGAAGAGATTAATGGGGAGGAATGGATGTTAAGAGATGTAACTCAAGTGATAGATAAGATAAACTGAAATACCTTCAATATGCCAGGGCACCCTACACCGTGCACAGTGTACAACATCAAAGACTCCACTGGGGTAGGGAAGTCTCGTGGTACCCATGACAGCAGATATGGCAGGAATGCCCCTTTCAAGTGCAAACTGAACCTGAGCTTCATGTTCATCTTTTGGAGCAAATGACATAGCTAATACATTTCTTTCAAAAAGAAAGCCTCCAAAGCTGGCAACCCCGCAGCCAACATCTAATATGACACGGGTACGTTTTCCCCAGGCAATGTCAGGCAGAGACTGCAGAAGCAATGCAACAACTCAGGTAAACATGTCATTCATGGATTGATATTCCCTCTGGATGTTAAAGATCTAGTTTCTTAATTCTCCTCAGTTTCTTAAGCTCTAAGTAGTTAGTGCGCTGTCAAACTTTTATACAAAGCACTGAGCAAGCAATTGAGGAATGCCAAAAAAAGTGCATGCAAACATAATGATAGTAAAATGGCACCAAGGCCTCATGCCACTATAGTTGACCATACACTGATACACATCATAACAGGGAAAATCTTGTCAGACACATTCCAAAATCTAAATCTAGACATATTCAGTTCTAACTTTCTTAAGCACACTTTTCATCTGGGATCATCGAAAGTTGGATGAGCACACATTATTTCAAAAGATTTATCTCACACCATCTAAATGTTTGGGTTCTAATCAGACACTACACTGCACTCCTTGTTGGCCTCTTGATTTGAATAACATTATATTTTAACCAAAAAACATATGGCCACTTCAGATCTAGAGTAATGAACGATTAATTGATTCAAACCTGCTGCAGAAAATCAATATAATGAAGAGCGCCATGCTTAAACTGGGTTCCACCACCAGGAAAGGTAAGGTATTCACCACTAAACTTAACCCAGTTCTGATGCCCCTTAACCTCTGCAAGCTTAGTGTGTGGAACATTATGGTACCATATCTGCATGAAGAAAATATTCAGAGATTCTAGGATAATATTAGATAAAAAGAAAATATAAATATGCATTCTAGGAGAGGAGACACATTACCTTTTCCCGACTTGTTGGCCACTCAATTGAGCGTTTATATCCTTCAGGAAGTGAAACAAGGCAAGTTGGAGAATCAGCAGGACAGTGTCTCTCCCTGTGTTCATAATGCTTAGTACTTCTGAGGTGCTTAATAGCATCCAGATTGTCAAGACAAGGGATGAAGTCAGGGCCAGCAGTGACATTGCAGAGCTTCCAGTTGTACCCATTCTCTGTATCAGTTCCAGAAGATTTCTGAGCTTCCTTTGCATTCTTTGATTCAGTTGCCTGAGTTGAAAATGCCCCATTCTGCGTCGTAGTTTCATTCAAGAGCTCAGACTGAGATCCGGAAGGAAAAACTTCATTTGGCAACTGATTTTTCTCATCAGTAGCTTCATGATCCTTCTTGTCATCTGTACTCTCTGCATAACTATCTTCTTTATCACCTTTTCTTTCACCTGCATTTTCTTCTGGGGCTTTCTCAGTATAACCTGTATCTGACTTAACTTCAGTTTTCTCCCCCTCTTCAGACTTTTTTCCAACATCATCATCCTTCTGCTCTACATTTTCTTTCTTATCTTCTTCATTGTCTATCTGAACCTTGGAATCATCTGTGGACTGAGGTTCCTCTTTCTTTTCTCCTCCAGATTGCTCTCCCTCATTTAGCTTCTGGTTTTCTTCAGCAGTTCTCTCTGTTTCTTGAGAACCAGAACTCTTTTCCTCTTGAGTTGCAACATCCCCTTTAGTTGCTTCATCAGGTAGATCACCAGGAGTATCCTCAAACTGCTTCGATTTCACAGCATCGGCTTGGTTACTTTCACCACTAGCATTGTTGTTATCATTGCTGCCAGTCACACTCTCACTGCTCTCGTGTAGCTGTGTCTTTAAGTCACTCTTTCCCTCCTCTTGTGAAGAAACATCTGAATTTGTCACTGGTACAACGGATGATGATGTCATCAACCACACGCCAACCAGGCATAGTGCTACAAATATCACTATGGTCACCGTTGAACAATAACTTGTAGAGGATTTCCTACCATCAACTCTAGAGTACTTCCCTAAAGCCATTCTTATCCCCCAAAAATGTATATAAGACTTTCAACTTCCCCTTCTCACCAGAACTATAGTGAAAACTTATGTTACAACATCTGGCTGCTGCAGCTCGGCTAACTGCAACTAATTAAAATATGAATGTTGTAGCCATTAGATATAAAGTAAGATGTTGCAAGTAAAAGATTGAATATGAAGCATATCTATTACAGTTTCCAGAATAAACGTAACTACGTCAGCAAGAGATGCTCTAACCAAACATTAGTTAAACATGTTTGGTTCATGATGATCTAAATAATTTAAAGGATGTTTATGTTCATGATGACCTAAATAAGTTAAAGGATCCAAGCTGAAAATGCCATCAACATATACAAGCATTGCAACAATCTTTCATTGAAAGCAGGATGCGACCACAGTCTAAAGCCGAAGCAGACAAAAATAAGAAAGGAGAGAGAAATAAGCAGGATCCGGATCCACAGCTAACAATAGGAGTAACCAAAGAGAAATCGTTACCATGGGAGCATTACCATGTCCCAGCAACAGATCTGGGGTGAAACTAATAAAAACACACCATGATTCGAGTTTCCTTATATGAAATGAATCCGTGATCAAATGCGGTATGCAAATTTACCACAGAAAAAACGGGATTTCAGAATCGGACTTAAACAAGTAACACGCGATTGTGGTTCTAACAATTATCCGTGTGCGTGTAACGTGTGCATGCGCGTGCATCATAGAATAGATCGAAATAAAGGATATATTTAGCTACATGATATTGTTCATCGTTACCAGGAGCGCAGTAATGGCGGATCTGTGATGCTAGATACAGAATCAGAAAATTGTCACCATTGCTGAAACTTGTATCACCTTTTCAGCATCTGATTGATTCAGCTAGTATACGCAAACACTTGGTGGGTCTCTAAAAGGAGGAAGCCCGAAGACCAACGCGCACATAGTTGCGGCAATTATTATAAGGCTGGAGCCCGTCGGTGACCCAATTGGCATCACGGGCGGGAATTGGTCGGGTTGAGACTTGAGAGAAGATCCATAATTCATCCGTCAAGTTTATTTTATTTAAATTCGTTCATTGGATTGGATTGGATATTTAAATTCGTTCAATATTAAATTCGTTTATTTAAAGTCCTTATCATTTTCCACTTATCAACTACTAGAGCTGTGCACGGGTCGGGTTCGGGCGGGTCAGGTTTGTGAACCCTAAATTTGTTCGGGGAGGTCAGCACTTTGAAGCATTTGAAAAGTACAATGACAACTATACTAAATATAATCCATGTTTCAAACACAAGACCCCTCAACATGGGGTTATATTATATTATGGGCATAACCTATAACTACCCCATTTCAAATCATGTATATAATAATATATATACCCATCAAATAGCCGGCCCGTAGGCCGATTTGTATTTCAAAACAATTCCCTTTAAAAGCCCATGGCTTATACTTGCATACAACAATCCCGAGAGGTTACCTCACCCCTAGTCTAAACCCAATTCCATCGAGAGGGTTACACATTTTATCCTTTGAACTCATCCACATTGGACTTACACACCCTACGTTTGTATTCATTCATTTTGGGCTTACACACCTAGTATAATATCTTTGATTAATTTAGGGCTTACCCACCCCGTATAATGCTTTACTCGTGTAGGGCTTACACACCCCGCGTAATACTTTATTCATGTAGGGCTTACACACCCCGTATAATACTTTCTCGTTTAGGGCTTACACACCCCGCATAATACTTTATTCGTGTAGGGCTCACACACCCCGTATAATACTTTCCCGTTTAGGGCTTACACACCCTGTGTAATACTTTATTCCTGTAGGGCTTACACACCCCTAATATGTCCCCCAACGTTCATATCTTTATTTGACCGTGGCCTCGACCACCTCAATACTCATTGTATTCGAGTAATCATAATCTATCATAACTTATTTCAGTTGTCTGAACGTATCAACGTACATCATATTGACGGAGCTGCCGGTGTTGATGTAGTTGCGGTGAACAACGTTGTTGCCGATCTCGCATTTGACGACGAGGGCATCTCTGTGAGGCAAAAGGCCGAAGGGGAGATCCTTGGCAGTGAAGGTGATGGCCTCCACATGCTGTCTCTTCGGCCGGGGGGGGGGGGGGGGGGGGGCTGGGACACCTCACCAACGTACAGGGACCGGGCCCATTTTCTCCGTTGGGTAGCCGAGTCCCCCCCGTGTTCCCGCCCACAATGATGTGGATGTGGTGCTTCTTTTGTTGTGGCATCTCGTCGTCTTCATCCTCGCTAAGGGCGCCGATCTCCCTTTTCTTGCCTGAGGATCCCTCTCCCCCCTGCCAGGGTTGACCCACGTGTTTTTCGGGGCACCCTTGACAAATTGGGAGAGTTCCCCTTGTCGGATAAGTTTGTCGACGTGCCTCTTCAGTGTGGTGCAGTCGTCGGTTTTGTGGAATGTCTGGCAGTGGTACTTGCAGTACGTCCCGCCCTTATGGATCGCGAATACTTCTGCCTCAGGCCTTGGGTCCTTTGCGATGAGGCCGCGGTCCTCAGCGTAATCAAGGATGACGCTTACCGGGTGGGAGAGGGGGATGAGTGGTGCCTCCAGCCTTGGACACCATGATCGGTCGTCCATGCGTTGCCCTCCGGAGTCCGGGTATCCCTTCCTTCGCTGATTTTAATACTTGTTAGCCGACGCGTGGTGGGGGTTGGACGAGGAGTCCTTCTTTTGAGGCTTTTCCCCACCCTTCTTCTAGTTTAGGAGCTCGTCGGCCTCCACGTGCCTTTCTCCGCGCCTTAGTGCGGCAATGTATGAGCGTGGGGGCTCGGTGAATAGGCTGCGGGCAAAGTGACCCGACCGGAGCGCCCCTCGGAGAGCTAGAGAGATAAAATGAGTAATTATATTTCTCAACCCCCTATAACTAGCCCCTTGGGGTCTATTTATAGGAAAAAATGTGGATTTGGGCTCCTAGCCTTGGGCTTAGGAGGCCCATTACAATAATCATGCCTTCTTTGGGCGAAATAGAGCCACTAATGGGCTGAGTACAATACTTAATAAATAAAGTAGGAAAATACATTCTGCATGGACGAAGTCTGGCCGATGCGGTGTGGTTTGGCCGATGCAGGCCCATGGCCGATGCGGTCCATGGACCGATGCGGCCCCAGTGGCCCGGGTGGGATGCTGGGTTGATTCGGCTCTGGGCCGTTGCGGGCCCCTGGAGACCGTAGCATGCCACGTGGATGCCCTGCTGGCATGTTTGTCCTTAGAGTATGTGGGCCATGGGGTCTAGGCCCACATACTCTATCACTTAGAAAGACAAAATTGAACGGTTAGTGGAAGAAATTCTGACCACAAGAGTTATAGAACCTAGTTTCAGACCACTTTTCAAACCCATTTCTCTTTGTTGTGAAAAAGGATGGGAGTTAAGTTTTGCGTTGACTACCATGAATTGAACAAAGCTATAGTACCAAATAATTACCCAATACCGGTCATACAAGAGATATTGGATGAGCTCTATGCCATTCAGATTAATTAACACGCCTGCAACCTATAAGAAATTATGAACAACATCTTTTGTCCATACCTTGTGTGATTTGTCCTGGTATTTTTTTATGGCATACTTGTATTTTTTTGTTTTCTTACTTGTATACTCCCTCTATATTTTAAAAATCGCTACATTATCTTTGGCACATTATTTAAGGAGGAAAGTAGTAGGAGTGATGAATAGTGTAGAATAAGTAGAAGAAGAGTGTAAAAATATGAAAGAGAAGATAACGAGTAGAAAAGTAAGGATAATTGTGTGTTTTTAAAGAGAAAACTTACCAAAAGAGGAAAGTGTAGCAAATTTTCAAATACATACCAAAACAGAAAGTGTAGAAAACTTTAAAATACAGATGGAGTACAGTATTTCATGAGAAGACCATTTGCAACATCTGACAATGGTGATGGGAATTCAAAAAATTAACCATATTGTGCCCCAGTTCGGGTTGGCTCTAGATCCATAAAACATTAGCGACATTCTTTGTTGGCCCCAACCAAAATGTCCCAAGGCCATGCGAGGATTCTTTGGCCTCACAGGATACTATTGCCTGTTCATTCAGGGTGATGGCAAGATCGCCCGGTCTCTTATGTATTAAAGAGAAATTATTTAACCCGGTTCCAATGCCCTTGCCTCACAGCCTATGTTGAGGCATTAAAAGCAGAAATGACCTCGTCACCTATTCTTGCAACCCTAGATATTTGTTTTCCATTTATGATTGAATGTGATTCTTCATGAACAGGGGTGGGAGCTGTATTGATGCAGGGACCCCAACTGATGATTGCATATTTTAGCAAGACATAGTCTGGTCACACATTGGCCAAGTCTGCTTACGAGAAAGGATGAATGATGTTGGTTTTAAGACTTTTAACCATTCCACGCTAGAGGTTCTACCTCATTGGCAGAAAGTGTGTGGTCAAAACCGACCACCGAAGCCTACGACACTTACTACATCAGAGAGTAACTACACCTTCTCACCAAGATGGGATTGCTAAGCTACTGGGCTATGATTTTGAAATTACACACAAATTGGAAAAGACTATCAATGAGCAGATGTATTGTTACGTCAACATGAATGGTGGCAATCATTGTTTAGAAAGGCGCATACATGACGGGTTTTGAGGCATGCCTCAAAGAGAGTCATACACTCAAACAGAGGCATACAGAGAAAGTATCAAAGGCTTAGATTTTTTGCAGAACTCAAAGCAAATAAAAGCATGTCCTGGCTGCTTCTGGCTTTTGGCGTAAAATCGATTAAAATTAAGCAGAAGCTTCCCTTTGCAAACACAAACTTTAGCTTTTTTTTAACAAAAAAGCAAAAAAAGTGCTTTTGAGAATCTTTCGCAAACATAGCCTTATTTTGCTCCTCTTGTTCTTTAACTTCACTTACTGAGGAAGCGGTCCAGCCCAGCTGGTCGCCGACTCACTCTCCCTTACGGGAGGTCTCAGGTTCGAAACTTAATGGAGTGCGTTTCAACCCTGATAACTTCAGGCCCGTCAAATTTACAGTTGTCCGTGGAAACATCGCCCGAGATCGTCGTCGACCCGACTCTGTAAGTGATATCGTAGGTGCATTCTGCAGGCTTTCCATCAACTTGGCACGGCTCTGAGTATTTCTGGAAAGAGCTAGAGATAGAGGAATTGGCATAAAGGCTATTAATCCACGTTACATCATTGCCCGTGTCCATAACCAAGCTCACTCTCTGCCCGGGAGTTCCGACTAGTACATCAATCATGAAATCGCCGGAGCCATCCCAATCGGATTTTACACTGGAACTCACCTCGAGTTCCAGTGTTGATGATGATGGCGATCCTAAGAGGCGAGCGAGCCTCTCAGTGTCGCGGTTTAGGGCGTGTTGCAAACGCTCCAGCCTCGTCAAGTTTTGTCTGCCGTCGTTGTACTGATCTCGGCGTCGCAGACCAAACCCGACTCCCTTGGGAATACGAGGAGAGCCTTTAGTCTTCGTTGCGGGGGCGGAATGTTGGGTTTCGGGCAGAAAAACGCAGCGGAATAAACAAAAATTTTTCTACCCAAAAGTAAATGAACGGATCTGAGGTTCTTATTATAAACGAAATTACAAGAATTTAAGAGGGACTTACATAGCAATCTTAATCAAGGATGTCAGACAGTCCGAGAAAACGATCCCGAGCTCTACCGGTATCCACACGCACGTGACTGGATCGGCCGCAGGGAACGTGCTAGCGTTCTCTTCTTTCTTCCTCTCTACTCTAGGTTTGAGAAGTGAATTTTAACTCTTAAAATTCGTGGGTCTATATGGCCCTATTTATAAGAGGAGTAAAGAAGGGGTTTTATGGCTAATAAAACCCTTAAAGAGGCCCTAGCCCAATACCATTCAAAAACCTATTTCGAATTGGGCTAATCAAGCTATTTTAATGTTATTAACAAACATTAATGATCCAAATCACTTAGGTGTGTGACCCTGTAGGTTTATATATTATTGGCAGTGGGCTAGAAATTAATTCGAGCCTCACAAATCATAAGCGGTCTCTAGCAAGGCATTATGACTATCCAAAATATATAAATGTCAATTAAATCTGACATAACCTTTTAATGATTAATTTGTGCTAATAATTCTCTTTTGTCAAACGATATCTTAATTGAGACAAGGTTAGGTCGTGT